GTCTACACCAGCGTGCACCTGTCTACACCAGCGTGCACCTGTCTACACCAGCGTGCACCTGCAGCTGGCGGATATAAGAGACGACGTTGTCGAGCATGGAGGCGGTCTCCTCGTTGCCCGCCGCGTACGGTATGCTCTGCTGCAGCTGCTGCAACCCCTCCCTGCTCGCACGTGCCATGGGGGATCGGGGGAATAGGGGCGGATGGAAGGGAATAGGGAGGAATGGGGGGAAACAGGGAGGAGTTAAGATGGGTGGGGAAGTATAGGGGCGGATGCAATGCAACAGGGCGGAGAGGATCGATTGGAAAGGGAGAGGAAGAGGAAATAGAGAGGGAAGGAGGAAAGGTAGGGAGAGGTAAGGGGGGAGAGAGGGATGGAGGGAGAGAGGTAAGGGGTAGAGGGGAGGAGGGAGAGAGGGACGGAGGGGGAGAGGGACGGAGGGAGTGAGGGAAGGAGGAAGAGAGGGAAAGATGGGAAGAGGGAAAGATGGGAAGAGGGAAAGGGGGAGAGATGGAAGGAGGGGGAGAGGCAAGGAGGGAGAGAGGAAAGGAGGGAGAGAGGGGAAGAGCGAGAAGGAGAAGGAACAGTAGAGAAAAGGAGGAGGAGAGGGAAGGGGGGAGAGGGGGAAGTAGGGAGTGATAACGGAGCAAAGGAAGGAGGAAAGGGGGCAGAGAGGGAAGCAGGGAGCGAGGGAAGTAAGGAGAGAGGGAAGAGTGGAAGGAATGAGGTAGGAAAGGGGGGAGTGAAGGAGAGAGCGGGGGGATGGGGAAGGAAATAGGGAGGTTGGGTGGGAAAGATGGGAACGGGAACCAGAGAGAGAAGGAGAAAGATGGGAACGGGAACCAGAGAGAGAAGGAGGAAGTGGGATAAAAAGAGAGGGAAGGGAGAGTCAAGAAGGAAAGGAAGGAGGGAGAAAGCGAAGGAAACAGAGAGGGAAGAAGAGAGGGAACAAGGGAGCAAAGACACCAGGGAAAGAGGGAGAACAAAGAAGGGAGAGGGCGAAGAACTTCTTGAAGGGATAGAAGGATGGAGGAAGGGAAAGAGGGAGAGTAGGATAAAGGGAGGGAAGTCGAGGGGGAGAGGGGGAAGGAAAGAAAGGGGAGGAGGGAGAAAGGGAAGGAAGAAAAGAGGGAAGGAGACAGAAAGCGAAGGAGAGAGAGGAATGGAGGGAGAGAAGGATGGCGAGAGGGACAGAAGGAGAGAGAGGGGAATAAAGAACGGAGAGATGGAGGGAAGACCGAAGGAGAGAGGAAAGGAGTGATGGAGGGAAAGGAGGAAGGGACGGAAGGAGGGAGTGAGGGAAGGCGGGACAAAAGAAGGGTGGGAGAGAGAGGAGGGCAACAGGAGGGAGGAAAGGAGGGACGGAGCGAGAGACTTAGGGAGTGAGGGAGGGTGGGACAAGCGCAGGGAGGGCGGATGTGCGGATGAGAGACAAGATAGAGACTGCCATGGGTGGTGGCAGAAGAGGCGATGCAGTGGGGCAGAGGTGGGTGGGCGGTGGAGGTACCTGACTCGCTGGCGCCTCACTCGCTCCACCTGCACTCGCCTCCGCATTCTCTGCCGTGAATCCCCGCCCTCGTCCTGCCCCCCTGCTTCACCCTCCCCCCCTTCTTCCTCCCCATGACCCATCCCCTCATCGCCATCCCTCCCCTCGTCATCCATTCCCCCCTCCTCGTCCGCGTCTGTCCCCGCAGCATCATTCCCCCGAGCCTCCGCGGGGTGGGCCTGCAGAGCGGGTAGCTGGGCGCGGGGCTGCTGAGGTGAGAGGGCGGGGTCAGAGCGGGCAAGGGGGCGAGACTGCAGGCCGGACGAGGCCGCATGCGGTGCCACAGTGGGCACCGGCCGTCCTGCTGTTGATTGATGTCCAGATGTCATCTGATGTCCAGCTGTCATCTGATGTCCAGCTGTCATCTGATGTCCAGCTGTCAGTTGGTGGGACATCTGATGTCCAGCTGTCGGATGTACAGCTGGCATTTGATGCCCAACTGTCATCTGGTGTGTCATCTGATGTCCTGATGTCATTTGATATTGGGCTGTCAATTGAAGTCCAGCTGGCATATGAAATCCAGCTGTCATTTGGTGTCCAGGTGTAGCGTGAAGTCCAGTTGTCATTTGTCGCAGTATCAGGGCCTGGTCATGTTGAGTTACTGCATTTTGTGAAAGCAAGAGTTGCTGCTGCCATTGTTGTTGCTGCTGCAACAGAAAGAGCTGCTGCTCCATTGTTCTCTCCTGCTGCGCTTGCTCTTGCTGCCACTGCCGCCGCTGCTGCTGCTGCCACACTTGCCGCTGCGCCAGGAGCATTTGGTTGAACAGCTCTTCGCCATTTCCACTCGCCGCGTTGTGCGGCATCAGCCCAGGAGGACTCGCCGCCATTTCACTTTGGCCCATCACGCCTATTTCCACGCCTTCTCCTACACGACGGTCAGTAGCACCGCTCCTGCCAATCACACCCGTCGCTCGCGCGGCGGAGTGCGGTGCAGCACGCAAGGGGTCGTGGCCAGGGCGTTGAGGCTGGGAATGCTGCGGATCTACCACAATTGACGGTGGCCCTTGCGAATCAACTTCTATCGCTGCATCACGCGCACCCATCGAAGCAGCGGCCATTATTTCCGTGAAGCGCGCGGCGGCGACGGACTGTTGGAGCAGGGCGGCGTCGGGGAGGCGCGAGAGGGCGTCCTCGGACGAGTCGTGGCGCAGCTGCGAAACCATGGCGTCCATGTTCATCGCTATCTGCACCCGCAGCGGCGGTGCACTCTCCTCGTCCTCCAATAACGGCGGACGGGTCGTCATTTAATTGTGCCAAGTAAATTTTTTTTTTTTTTTTTCCAATGGGTCTTACGTTTGTGCTGGGGTTCATTCAAGTGGTTCGGAAAATGCTATGGCGGCAGCGAAGGTTTTGAACTTTTAGTTAGTGAGCAATCGTTAGCATCCCTTTCAGTTGAAACGTTACCACCAACCCTTGCAGCAAGATAGCTCTGTTCAGAGTCTACTGTTAAAGATGTCCCAGATACTAGCTCTGTTCGAAGTCCACCGAGGAACCCAGGAACCCTCGTTCATACGTACACCTGTGGCACAGCTCTACCACCGCCATAACTGGTGCTGGGAAGAACCGATGACTCTGTAGCTTCTCCTGAGTTGAGATGGACACACCCCCACCAAAATCGACGTAACTGGACGTTAAGATTGCACTTGGTCCGGGACATCTTCACCACCCTGACCATTTCTGTCCACGGGCATCGCCCCCCTTGATTCTACAAACTTAACCGAGATGCCTCGATGGAATTGCGTGTGTACTTGGATTCGAAACCCGACAAAAACCGAGTCTAAAATATCACACACACAACCTCAGTCAGGCTATCTTCTGTAAAACCCGAACTCCTTCGTCATGAAGCCTACCACGAATATCACGGACTGAGAGAGCAATATTTCCCAAAATTCCCATCTGCCGAGCAAAAGTCCGGCATAATCAGATCAAATCAGGCGCATTTCACTGTATGAAAATGGTTTCACGCTCGCTTCAAGTGCATCTGCTCTGCTCACACTGAAGTTGTGCTGTGATCTCCAGCACATGTTACTGACTACAGTTGCTGTTGAGCCAGCAAACCAAAACACCCCTCCGTTGTTCCTCCGGACCCGAGCAACTAAGTGAAGTGGTGAACTGAACAACATGACCATCCCCACCCTGGCCACCTCGTCACGAGAACATCTGTCGAAGCCTCGTTTCTCGCCCGAAACGTCACACCAGTCGGGGTGTCTCTGAATTTGAAAACACTATTGCTGCTCCGTCCCCCCACTTCTGTACTGTAATTCGATTTGCGGAGGGTCGGTCGGCCGAACCCCACCTGATCTGACCGAGCCTTGCCGATTGCAGGGGATTGCAGCGGAGGGCTGCGGGCATCATCATCATCCACCGCAGGGGGATTGCAGCGAAGGACCAAGATCATCCGCGCATCCACATCCGCATCACATCGTCAGGTCGAATCGCAACACAACGCAACCCCATCGCGCGCCCATCCATCCACCCAATCCCTTTGTCCCACTCCCCCCCTAGAGCACAGAACAAACAAGCCCACCCAAACCAGGCCAGCCCGCTTGTTGTAGGCAGTTTTGGCCCTAGCTCCGACCAATCAACACGTCGTTCGTTCAGAAAGCTTCAGCCATGCACTGTTTTAATTTGCCGAGCAGCCAACCAACGGAGACCTCACTCTCTTGAATAACTTGAGTCCAATCACATACACTTTCGTGGATGGCAGAACAGTAAGCACTCATCACAATCCTTGTTCTGTGGCCTGCCAGTTGCGCACTACAAGACAGTTTAGGGAAAAACCGTTTTTGTAACACCAAAAAGCAATTGGCATGGTAAATCTTACTTCAATTCCAGTACATGAGAATCTTACTTCACTAATTTTGAGTTCAATCTGCAGAAGGTTCATTTGCAAGCAAAAACACTCTTAATCTATCTAAGGCGCCCACACACTAGTGAGAACCCAAGGGTATGGGACAGGATGAGGCAAATGCGGTGGCGGTTGCGACTGTTGGGAACAAATAGTCTTAAGCGCCTCTGTCGTGTCGAAACTCAAGACACAAGCGAAGCAGCTCAAATCGAAGCACCGCGAGTCAACCCTCGGAGGTTAACGTAACCGCTGGAGGTTACGAGAAAGTCAAAGGTCAGCGACCTTTGACCTGACGCAGCGCGACAGCAAGGACACACAACTGACTCGACATTGAGCAGTTGCCCAAGTGGCACTGTATCGAACCGCAACAGTAAAACAGTTACAATTATGTCTCTTCATATTCTCTGTACTCATATATATTCCTGTATCTCTTTGCTTTAATTAACTTACTTTGCCCTCACATGCTAGCGCAAGGTGGTTCAAGGACTTTATTCAAACGCTTCCGCTACTACATCATTTACTCAGACTTTAACTCTACTAAAGATCCTAGGGCGTTCAGCCCAACAGCGACGACGGTGGTGGCTGACGTTACACTAGGTGCAACCATTACAGGAGAGCATTTCCCCAAGCGGCCCCTTGGTGCCATGGCTGGGCTGGGGGTGAGAGCACAGCGAGACTCGAGCTGCCTGACAGCAGCAGCATGTGACCCTGACAGACACAGACAGACGGAAAGACAGACACAGACAGACAGACAGACAAGACGACAGACAGACAGGCGGACAGACGGCACACAGAAAGTAGACAAGACAGACAGACGACAGGACCAAGGAGGACACGGCCGTCAGGGTGGGGAGAAGTGGCGAAGCACAGCAGCAATGCAGGGCATGGCGTGGCAAAACAACTACACTTACCTGCAGGCATGAAAACGAGGCCCAGGCAATACGGCCGTTCAAAGTGGTGGTTGAATGATAAACAAGGGTTGTCATGTGAAGTCACATACTCACATCGTCTGCTCATCTTGACCTCCTGATGCTGCCGGCGTTACTGCAAGAATAGATGGAAGTTGAAAGTCCAGTGGCAGCAAAGGAAGAACTTAGTCTTCCTGCTTCAATAGAGAAAATGCCTCCATGGCATCCCCAAGGAGCGTAAACGAGGCCCCGAAGGCAAAAAACCAGCAGACATTACAACGAGAGGGATCAACACTGGAAACACAAGAGGCAGTTGAGTTGGGAGATGGCAGGAGGGGGTTTCTGTTGGCGGCAGCGATCATGAGTGGAGAGACGGCAGGTGCCGTCACATCACCTCGTGAATGGCTCTGGATCGTAACCCCGGGGGGCATACCTCCTGTTTCACAGCGCCAGCGGCATCTCCCCCTCCGCTGCCGGCAGCAGCAGCGGTGTCATGGGTGGGCCGCGGGCGGCCGCAGTGGCGGCGGTTGCAGTGCGAGCGGAAGGGGTAGTTCACGTTGCCGCACTCACTGCACGCCCAACTGCCGTCCGGTGCTGCTGCCTGCACGCCTGCCCTCCCCCAAGCCGGGCAGATGGGCCAGGGGGTGGGGGGGGAGGGGTTGGAAGGGCAGATACAGGAGGTGAGGAGAATGGGTATGAATAAATGGAGAGAGTGAGGGGAGGTGAGTGATATGGCGGCGAGTGGGATGGGGCGAGAGGGAGAGAGAGGTGCATGGTGGTGGAGGTGGTGAGAGGAAGCCGTGGTGGCTGCACGGTGAGAGGGGGGGGGATGGGGGACATGGGGAGAGGCGCAGCGCAGCAGGGGACTCACGTGGTGGGTGAGAAGGCAGGGGCGCGGGAGCAGCGGGGTGCACCTGTGGCATGGCCAAGGCAGACGCAGGGCGCCCGCAGGTTGCAGGCGGGCGACGAGGGGTTGATGGGCAGGGACGGGACGGGGAGGGGAGGGGAGGGGAGGGGAGGGGAGGGGAGGGGAGGGGAGGGGAGGGGAGGGGAGGGGAGAGGAGGGAGTCCATGAAGCAAAAATTAGACAGGGCAATGGCAAAGGGGGTTGAAAGCCATGTAAGCATGACAATGAGCATCCCAGCACAGGTGCGCTTGGTTGCTGCGAGGCACGGACGAGATGAGGGGCACAGCAGGGTGTGCGGGAGGTGATGAGAGAAGGAGAGTAGAGGAGAGGAGGAGAGAAGTTGAGGAGACGTAAAGAGGGAGGAGTGGAAGAGAGCAGAAGGAGGGCAGGGAGAGGAGAGGGAGGGGGAGGGGAGGCGGCGAGCGCACATAGAGAGTAGGAGGCAGGGGCGTGGCAGGGGGCCTGGGCTCGTTGCATTTGCGCATGTTGCAGTGCGTGCGGAAGGAGAAGTTGGTGTTGCCGCACTTGAAGCACACCCAGTCCCCCTCCCCACTCCCCTCCGGTCCCCCCCTCCGCTTCCGCCCGTCCGCCCCCTCCCCTTGCCGCTGCTGCATGCCCGGCTGCCAGAGGGGGAGGGAGGGGGAGGGGGAGGGGGAGGGGGAGGGGGAGGGGGAGGGGGAGAGGGAGGGAGAGGGGGAGGGGGAGGGGAGGGGAAGTGGGAGGGGGAAGAACGCAAGTGCGCTTGGCTGAAAGAGGGACGAATGGGCGAGAGGCCAAGGATAGGGACTGGGCGGCATAGAGGACAGCAAGGGTGGCGAGGGCGGGCGCGGGGGGGCGAGGGCAGGGAGTGGCAAGGGGAGGCGAGAGCGGGGCGGGGGAAGCAGCGAGGGCGGCTCACAGGCGGCATTGGATGGCTCACAGGCGGCATGGGGCGGTAGGCGTCCATGGGGTAGGGTGCGAACGGGTGCGCTGCGGGCCCCGCGGCCAGGGGGAGGGGGGAGGGAGGGGGCGGGGAGGGGCAGGGGGAGGGGAGAGGGTGTGAGATAAGGGAGACGAGACGGTACAGAGGCGCGGGGGGAAAGCACTAGGCGCAGCGAGGATAACGAGAGAGGGCAGGGCAGGGCAGGGCAGGGCGGAGGGGGAGACTCACCTGGCGGCATGGGCATGTGGGGCATGGCCTGCGGCATGTAGGGCGGCGCGAGGTGCGCGGAGGGGTCATAGGGCGGAGGCATGGCGGGTGCCCCATACATGGGCGCGGGGGAGGGCATGGGGGGGTACGGGGCGTAGTGCGCGGGGGGCATGGCGGGCATGTAGGGTGCGCCGAGCGGCTGCATGGGCGGCATCGCGTGCATGGCGTGCATGGGCGCGCCCGGATCCCCCGGCATGGGGGCTGCCGCCTGCGACGGCGCATGCTGTCGGGGGAGGGAGGGGAGGGGGAAGAGAAGAGCGGCGACACAGAGAGGGACGGAAGGGGTTGATAGGACGATGGGGCGGGGGAGGGCGGGGGGAGATCTCGAAGGGGAGCAGGCAGTGGAGGGACGGCGCACGGCGAGGGGACTTGGGGCACGCAAAGACAGAGCGGCGTGGGTGCAGTGCAGCGGGGCACGCGCTCGGGAACGACACGAGCAGGAGGACGGCGGGATCACGCGGGGGGCTCACCGAGTATTGCGGTGGCGGGTGCATCAGCGAGGGGCCGGGCGCGGGTTTGGGCGCGCCGCACTTGCGCATGTTGCAGGACGTGCGGAAGGAGAAGTTGACGTTGCCGCACGCCGGGCACGTCCAGTCGCCGTCGCCGCTCGCGTCTGCGCAGCCACGCGCGCGGGACACGCCGCAAGCGGAAGCGGGTGAGCGGGGAAAAGCACGCGAGGGGATTGGACCTGCGCAGAGCGCGCGGAGGCGGAGCGGCGAGGAAAAGCAGCGCCGCAGCGCACCGACCTGTGCGGGGACGCTTGGTGCTCATGCTGCCGCCGAGGGTTGCGCGAAGGGAGGCGGTAATCCGCGTTGGAGGGATGCGCGGAGGCCCGCCGAGACGCGCAGTCGAGGCAGGAGGCCGCGGGGCGGATGGATGCGGGCGAGCAGGTGAAGAGCAGAAGGTGACGCTCGCAGCACACACAGGGGCGGTAATAAGGCCACTTGCGAATACTAGCACGCACGGGCAAAAGAGAAGAACAAGAGTGATGGTACAAGTAGACTTGGGAGAGTGGTGGTGGGTGTTGTTGAAATGAGTGTGTGTGCCGTGTGACCTGCTCACATTTGTGCACAGCACAACCCTCAACCCCCCCCATCCATTCCAGTTCCTTCCAAACGCACGTCAAGAGTCCACACGCACAGCGATTCCTGCTACCATCCATCCACCCTCGCTCATCGCTCTTCTCGTATTCGTTCTCTCTCTCTCACTCACTCTCGCCTCCCATCCCATCCTCACGGCCGCATTTCCCGCGCCTCGCCTGTCGCCGACCGCAATGGACGCCGCAGCGCTCAGGCCGCACTTAGTGCGCCACTCCCTCAGCCCCGCGCACCTCTCGCGCGCGCCTCTCGGACGTGCCAACACCGCCTCCCGCCGCGCGCATCGTCTTCCGCCCCTCCGCGCGCGCGCATCGGGCGGCGGCGGCGGCTTCCCCAAGGGGCAGGGCCTCATCGGCCTCAACGGCCAGCCGCTCTCGTCCAGCCCCGGCGGTACCGGCGGCGGTTCCGGCAGCGGGGGGATGTACCTGCCGTTTCTAAAGCCGGCGGAGCGCGCGGTGGAGGAGGGGCTGGGGTCGGTAGAGGAACTGCTAGAGGTCGTGCGCGAGCGGCGCGGGCTGTGGTACGAGTACGCGCCCGCCATCGGCGCGCTGGGGCGGCAGGGGCTGTCGCCGGCGGCGATCGCGGAGGCGACGGGCATGACGGGCGTGGAGCAGAGCGCCGTTACGACGGCGGCGCAGGTGCGCGCGACGCTGAGCGCCGCGCAGATGGACCCCGCGCTGCTGGCGTTCTTCGACGTGGGCGGCGCGGAGGCGCTGTACGAGCTGCGCGTGCTGGCGGGCGCGCAGCGGAAGGAGGCGGCGGAGTACGTTGCGCGCGAGGGGCTGGACGGGAAGGGCGCGCGGGACGTGGCGCGCGCCATCAAGGAGTACGAGCGGCGCAAGCGAGAGGCGGACCGCAGCCACTTCAGGTAGGCAGGCCGTGCTGGCGCCGCGCACGGTCGATTCTGGCGCAAAACCCAAGCCATGCGATATCCGCCCTTGTTCCGCGCACCTGCCTTGACCTCGTCCTCTCTCACTCCCCCTTTTCACCTACCCCTCACAGTCTCCTCACCCAACCCTCTGGCCCAGTCCCCTACTCACCTCGCCTTGCCCTTCCCATCACATTCCCCTTTGCCCATCCCCCTTCCCCAACCACCCCTTCCCCACTCTCTCCCTCCCCCCTTCCCCCTTCCATATCGCGCGCCACAGTGCGGAGCCGGGAGACTGTCTGGCGTTCGCCTCGTACCGCCAGAGCGGGGAGGCGAGGAGCCGCGCCGAGCGCGAAGCGGCGCTGGTGAGGGCGGAGCAGGTGGCTACGACCGACGCCGCCCGGGCCTTCATCTCCACCGCTCTGCACCGCTGCCGCAACCCCGACGCCGCACCGCCCGCCCACGCCGCCGCCCACGCCACTGGCCCCGGTGCCGCCGCCACCGCCACTCCCCCCTCTCTGCCAGTGGCGCGGCTGCGCAGCGCTGAGACCCAGGCGACGCCCATGCCCGTGGTGACCTGCGCCGCGGACCTGCAGCACCTGCCCGCGCTGCCCCCCCCGCACGGCCCCTTCCGCCTCTTCTCCCCCGCGCCCGGGCTGCCGTGGGTGGCGCTGCCCTCGTGGCCCGCCCTGCGGGGCGTGCCCGCGCTGCTGGCGCTGCTGCTGCCCTCGCCCTCCCTGCTGCCGCCCCTGCAGGCGCGGCAGGGGGATGGCGCGGTGCTGGTGGTGGTGCAGGGCGCGTGGGGCGAGGGCAGTGCGGTGGAGGGCAGTGCGGTGGAGGGCGGGCACTACTACGTGGTGAGGGACGCGGAGAGGGGCGGGGAGAGGGGGCTGGTGGTGGTGGCGGGGGGGGAGGTGGCGGAGCGGTATGGGTCGGGGGCAGGGGAGGCTGTGGTGGGGCGAGTGGTGCTGGCGCTGCTGCCACCTGACAGCGAGGAGGAGGAAGAGGAGATCGATGTGGACGACTGGGAGTGAGGGCACGCACGGTGACGTGTTGCAGGTGGAGGGAGGGCAGTGCGGTGGGTCAGGACACTGGAGGGGCAGCAAGACACAGCGGCTGCTGTGGCAGCAAGAGGCAGAGTGCGGCTGTGCAATAGCGGACAGACAAGCTTTCATTGACACTAGTCTGGAGGAGTGCTGCTGTTCTGTATGAGTATTGCTGAGCTCTGTTAGGCCACTACACTTGCTAGAACAACATGAGTTGAAACCGTGAAAGTCTGGATCTATACTTGCACATGAGGGTTCACTCAACACAGAGAGCACATAATGAACCATGGCATGGCATACGGTATCCTTGAGCACCTGGCGCACTGATCCGATGCGCGGTGCCATGTGAATGCCGCACACACACAACGCGTCACTCACTGTCATCCTCATATCTCTCCCCCCTGAGCCGCCCACACACATCCAACACGCGCTCGCGCATCTCCCGCACCTCCTCGCCCTCCACCCCCCACGCCGCCACCACCTGCCTGCCCGCCCCCCCTCGAGGGCCCCCCACCCACTCCAAAGCACCGGCAAGCACCTCCCCGTGCCGTGCCCCACCCCTCCCCGCTGCTGCCCGCGCCACCACTGGCGCCCACTCCACATCCGGTCCCATTCCCACCCCATTCCCGCCTCCCCACCCCCCTCCTCCCACTCCACCCGCCGCTGCTGCTGCTACCCCGCCCGCCAGGGAAGCAAAGTGGCTAGCACGGTGCCGGGAGGGCGGCAGGATGAGGCCGTATTTGCTGATGTCAGCGGAGAAGAACCGAGGAAAGGGCAGGGGAATGGCGAGGGGCTGCTGGGCGGCGGCGATGTGGGCAATGCAGGGCGGAGCACGAGGGCGGGCGGCGAGGAGGGCCCGGTGGATGGCTGCTGCTGCCGCCGCTGGTGGTAGCGGTGTGGGGACAGTGCTGGTGGGGCCTGCAGACATGTGGGAGGGTGGGAAAAGGGAGGGGAGAGGGGAGGGGTGAGGGGAGGGGAGAAGGGAGGGGAGAAGGGAGGGGAAAGGGGAGGGGAGAAGGGAGGGGAAAAGGGGGGTGCAGTGAATGAAGATGAGGAGGTGCAGTGAGCGAGGGATGCACAGCACACTCATGTGCCCTGCCCATGCACCACCCACACTTGCTCTCACCATCCCCCCTCCAACCCCCATCATACTTTGATCTTCCCTCTTCACTGCCAGCAGTCTCTCCTCACTACCTCGCATCCATACCCACCCTCACCCCCACTCCCACCCACCCTCCGCACCTGTAGCTTGCTGCCCCACTGCACCACGTGCCACCACCACCTGTGCTCCAATGCCTGCTTCCAAATCCTCCCCCTCCTCCCCCTCCTGCTGCTGCCCCATCCCCTCGCCTCGCTGCCCTCCCCTACTGCCTCCTCCCCTCCCTCCTCGCCCCTCTCCGCTGCTGCACACGTCTGACGTCAGCACCGCCATGCTACATGGCGAGCTTCCACTCGCCGCCTCCTGCTCCCCTGCCTCGTGTAGCGGCTGAGCCGGCAGGGCCAAGGAGGCGAAAGCGAGGGCGGCATGGGGCGAGGAGAGGGAGAGCAGGGCGCAGTAGTCCCTGAGGGACACGGCGCCCACGGGGGAGGAGGCGCAGGTGGGGGCGCGCGGGGCGAGGCGGAAGGGCGAGGAGAGGGCGTCGATGGCAGTGGCGAGCAGAGCAGAGGAGTGGAAGAGAGCGGTGTCGCTGGCATGCACGTGGGGCAGCACACCTGGTGGAGTTGGTGGAGGGGTGGGGCAGGGTGCAGGGGTGAGTGGTTGACACAGGTGGGCGGGTGGTGGGTGGAACGAGAGAGGTGTGGCGACATCCGGCATCTCAGACAAAACGCACGCTTATGTGGAGCGTGTGTTGGGAGGGGGGGGCTTTGTGCGTGGAAATAAAAGCGCGCACCAGCAGCGGAAAGCGCCGCAGGCACAAGCAGACCAGCACGCCAGCAGGGCAGCCGGGGCACGTACTGGAGAGGGAGGGCAGGCCGAGGGGCAGAATGAGGGAGGTGAGGGGCAGCAGCGAGGCCAGGGAGACGGCAGACGAGAGGTCATGCAGCGAGGGCATGCCGGGCAGGGCGTGGGGGCCGGGGGAGAGGGTGGCGGGCGGGAGCAGGGCGTCAGGGGGGCGCAGGGAGAAGAGCAGCTTGGGCGCCCTTGGGAACTCCGCAGCCAGGTGCAGTGCGGTGCGCGTGGCGAGGGAGGCAAAGGGCGAGGTGGCGTGCAGCAGCAGCGAGAATCCCTGCAGCGCATCACACTCCTCTGCCAGCCGCCTCACGCCCTCCTCCACCTCCTCCTCGCCCTCCCGCCCGCCCCCCACCTCGCGCCAGTCGCCATACCCCCCCGCGTCCAGGGGGGAGAGCGCACCCTGCCACCACCCGCCCGGCACCTGCACCACACTGGCGGGGCGCACGTGGGCTTTAAGGTACTCCGTCCAGTACCCCACGCCGCCCTCCAACCCCCGCGCCACCTCCGCCTCCTCCTCTTCCTCCCCTTCCGCCTCCCCCTCTGCCTCCTCTCCCAGCTCCCCCCCACCGTGCCTGCCTGTGGCCTCGTGCCGTTCCTCCCCCCTGGCCTGGGAATTAGGTGCGGAAGAGGCTGTGTGAGCGGCGGGTGCGGGTGGGTGCAGCAGGCGGCGCAGGAAGGGGTTGAGGGGGAGAGGCGCGGGCGACGAGACATGGGAGGGGCCAGACCTGTTGAAAGGAAGGAGACGGGGGGTCAAGGCGTATGGCGTGAGGGCAGGGGATGTGCAAATGAGGGGCGTGAGAAAGAGAGTGGAAGAGAGACGCAGAGGCGCGGGCGAAGCAGGTGGTGAATGGAATGGAGGTGGGTGGGGTCGTGTGGGTGCAGGGGGCATGACAGGCATGCACGTGCATGGGGGAGCAGGCACAGAGGCAGCGTGAGTAGGCTGGCTCACCAGGTAGGCATGGCAGACGGTGCAGCGGCGATGCCCCCATGGGCATGGAGAGGCGAGGCGAGGCAGACGGGGCCGAGGCAGCCTGCCGCGCACAACAGAGAGAGACGCGCAGTCGGCGAGCGTTGGGGCGATGCACGGCAGGGGACGCGACCAAGGATGCAGGCCAGGTGGAAAGTGAATAGACAGGAACGAGAAGTCGGGGCACAAGAGGGATACGTGGAAGAGTAGAAAGAAGAATGGTGGGAAGAAGGATGGGCATGACGGTGTGCAACACAAGGGGTGGAGCGGAGCGGAGCGCACCTTTATAGTCGATGGCGAGCAGGCGCGGCGTGCAGTACGGCGTGGACTGAGAGGGAGGGTGCGGAAGGGGGAGGGGTGAGGGAGGGAATGATGGAGTACAGAGAGCGAGGCGAGAGAGTAAGGCGAGCGAGCGGCATGGGAGAGTAGAGAGTGAGGGGGATGGATAGACGGGAGAGGGCGTTGGTGAGATGACTAGAGGGAGGGCGGATTGACAGCGCACCAGGAGCGCAGAGAGAAAATTGCCTTGACAACCCCCTACGCAATCATACGCCCCTCTGCTCATCCACAACCCCACCACCCTCCCCTGCCGCCATGCCCACCGCCCTCCCTCCCGCCACCCCACATCCCGCCCACCCACGGCGTACGGCAGGCCCTGGCATCTCGCGCCACTGCATCACCACGCTCTCCTCCACGCCCGCTCCATTCTGCTCCGCGCCCCCCTCGCCCTGCCGCCCCACCGCCTCATCCTGCAAGGAAGGGGGAAGAAGAGCAAGTGGCATGGGGGGGGAAAGCGGTGCGTTGATAAGTGAACGAAAGTTCACTGCAGGCTTGGACGCGACGCAAGGAGTGGGGCGAGGGGGGAGGCGGGAGGGGGAGGGGGAGGGGGAGGGGAGAAGGTGCGGTCGGTTCTCCGAGGTCACTTGCGCATGGCGACGCAGGTAGCTAGGACGGAGGCACGTGGGGGAAGGGGGCGCGGGGTGTGAGATTGGGAGGTTGGACGACGATGCTCACGCGGATACGGCGCACACTGGGAGGCCGAGCAAGAGGTGCGCGAGGAAGGGGAATTGGGGAAAAGAGGGCCTGGGTGGGGCTTGAAGGACGGGCTAAAAGAGGAGGAACGGAGGGAGGGACGCAGGGAGGGCGTGAAGATGCGCGGACGCCGGGGTTTCAGAAAATTGGGGAGGCGCAATTGGGGAGGCATGGGCGCGGCACGGCGCATGGTGGATGGCGCATGGCGGAAGGCGCATGGTGGAAGGCGCATGGTGGAAGGCGCATGGGGGAAGGCGTATGGGGGAAGGCGCATGGGGAAAGGCGCATGGGGGAAGGCGCATGGGGAAGGCGCACCTGCAAGTTCCAGAAGTGAGCGCCGACGAAGTTGGCGTAGCTGCCGAACTGAAGAGTCACCACTTCCCGCATCGCGCGCCTTGGTCTACTGTCGCAGGTGCTGGTGTTTACGCGCCTTCAAGATCGTTCTATCTGCTTGTCCACAGCAGCTTTGCGAATTAAGGGCGGCTACTTACAATTCCCACTTGAGTTATACTCGATATAATCCACAAGGATGTGATAACAAGATGTACACATAACTCGATGAGTTCTTACAACTCGCAACTCCACTAGACCAATGTGTACAGCTGGTGGGCTCCAAGGACCCCTTCCAAGCCATCAAGTTCGCGTTTGCTAACTGCGGCGAAAGGCGCTGTAATTTAGCGACGGAGTACTGTACGTGTAGCCGTTGACGACTTGCAGGTTTGGTGTAACATTGTGCAGCCGTCCTTAGCTTCACCCAGCTTTGATGGGGGAAGTCAGTCTCCACACCCCATTCGCTTCATACCTTGAAATTTGGCCGAAGAGGAACTACGGGCACTCCTGCCCTGCCCTCAGTTTCAGGGGAAGGGAAATGTTTTTGCGGCGGTGTATTGCGCCACTTTTCCCTTTGCCCGAGACACACCTCACAGTTCGGCTGCCCATCGCATATGATTGGTTGTTTTTTCATGGTTCACTGCCACGCGTTGCTTTCTGCGGCCTGGCTCTTACCTCAGATTCCATCCAAGGGACCAACCGGCGCCGTTTCCTAGTCAGCACTGCCAAATCAGCGTCACGTGGTTACTCAGTGAGAGTGGAAGTCCCCCCAGAACCCGCGCATTTCCTCCCCCACACCCATTCCAGTCGCCCCATTCACGAGAGCATTTGTGTGTGTTGAAGCTCCCACCATTGCCGAGAGCAACACAAGGCAAATAACAGCTGCTTGTGGTGTGATCACGACGCACATCATCATATTCCTTGAGACTTCATCTGCGATCGCTGCAGCAAACCAAGGGAGCGCAGTGTGCGAATACCTTCACTCGCCCTCGTCTTCCGATCCTCCTCGTCGCTCGATCCGATCGGCGCTATGGCGGCCGTCAGACTAAGCGCGCTTCACCTGGCGCAGCCGGGCCTCGCGCCCGTCGCCAGGGCGGGGGGCGCCATCAAGGCCAGCGAATGTGGCGGCAAGCAGGCCGCACTGGGGTGGTGCGCCTCCGCGCAGCTGGGGCAGTCCCTGGGGGTCGGCGCCAAATCGAAGGGCGTCGCTGCGCCATCCAAGCGCGCGGCTTCAGCGACCGTCGTTCGCGCCAGCGCCGGTGAGTCGCGGCGATCCACGATTAACCCACCATTTTACCTCCATCTCCGCCAGCAGCAGTGACTCATCGATCGTTGCTTCTGCTCGTTGCACCTTCAGCCGCCTAATCGTAAGTTGCGCGCGCCCCTAAAGATCGCGCCCGCATTGTTGGCCGACCTTCGCGAGGGGGCATGGCAGCCATCCGTGATGCGCGCTGCCATGTCCGACGATGCCACTCCTTTTCCAAGAAGCCCCCTTTCCCGCGAGCGTCACCCCCTTCCCCATCGCCATTCGAGCTTCTCTCCTCCTGCATCCGTGCTCACCTTTCCCCCGCCCACTCCCCCTCCCCCCTGTGCGCGGAGCAGCGGCGGACGTGGAGCGGCCGTGGCGGGCGGCGGACGCGCGGCTGGCGCTGGAGGACGGGTCGGTGTGGAAGGGGTCGTCGTTCGGCGCGCGCGGCACGCAGGCGGCGGAGGTGGTGTTCAACACGTCGCTGACGGGGTACCAGGAGATCATCACCGACCCCAGCTACGCCGGCCAGATCGTGCTCATGACCTGCCCGCACATCGGCAACACCGGCATCAATGAAGGTCCGCCCGCTCCCCGCGCTCACCCACCCGTCCCTGTCTGTCTACCTTTCCCCCTGCCCCTCGCTCGCCCGTGTCGTCGCTGCGCCGGCGATCATCGCGCACATCCCCCGTCCCGCCCCCTAACACTCCCTTCTCCCCTGTCCTCTCCCTTCTCCCCTGTCCTCTCCCTTCTCCCCTGTCCTCTCCCTTCTCCCCTGTCCTCTCCCTTCTCCCCTGTCCTCTCCCTTCCCCCCTGTCCTCTCCCTTCCCCCCTCCTCCTTCCCCCATCGGCGCGCAGAGGACGAGGAGTCGCGCACGTGCTTCACGTCGGGGCTCGTGGTGCGCAGCATCAGCAACTGGTGAGCCGCCTTCCCCGTGCCGCGCCGTCGCCGCTGTGCTTTGTGGGGGTGGGGGGGGAGGGGGTGGAGAGGGGGGGAGGGGAATGTGGGTGTGTGTGTGTGTGGGTGTGAGCGCGCGCGCGTTCGAAGCTACGCAATTCCAATGCAGTGCACTCCCACAGTCACATTCCCACAGTCACATTCCCACAGTCACATTCCCAGTCAAATTGCCCGAGTCACATTCCCAGTCACATTGCCCGAGTCACATTCCCGGTCACATTTCCACAGTCACACGCCGACAGGCAGGTTTCCACATGCGCACTCTCACAGGCGCACATTTAAATGCAGGCGCAGCGTCATATTCGCATGCCCACAGTCGCATTCGCCGTTGTACCGCGCAATGCAGCGGACCGACGCCTTCTGCTCCCGCCCCCTGTTCCACCTGCCCCTCCCGCGCTCGTCCCCTTGGCGCCCAACAGCGTGTCGAACTGGCGGTCGTCGCAGACTCTGCCCGACTACCTGCGGCAACACAACATGATGGGCATCTGTGAGTGATGCCGAGGGGAGTGAGGGAGGGAGGAAGAGGGGAGTGAGGGAGGAAGGAAGAGGGGAGTGAGGGAGGAAGAGGGGTGTGAGGAAGAGGGGAGTGAGGGAGGAAGAGGGGTGTGAGGAAGAGGGGAGTGGGAGAGGAAGGAAGAGGGGAGTGGGAGAGGAAGGAAGAGGGGAGTGGGAGAGGAAGGAAGAGGGGAGTGGGGGAGGAAGGAAGAGGGGAGTGGGAGAGGAAGGAAGAGGGGAGTGGGAGAGGAAGGAAGAGGGGAGTGGGAGAGGAAGGAAGAGGGGAGTGGGAGAGGAAGGAAGAGGGGAGTGGGAGAGGAAGGAAGAGGGGAGTGGGAGAGGAAGGAAGAGGGGAGTGGGAGAGAAGGAAGAGGGGAGTGGGAGAGGAAGGAAGAGGGGAGTGGGAGAGGAAGGAAGAGGGGAGTGGGAGAGGAAGGAAGAGGGGAGTGGGAGAGGAAGGAAGAGGGGAGTGGAGAGGAAGGAAGAGGGGAGTGGGAGAGGAAGGAAGAGGGGAGTGGGAGAGGAAGGAAGAGGGGAGTGGGAGAGGAAGGAAGAGGGGAGTGGGAGAGGAAGGAAGAGGGGAGTGGGAGAGGAAGGAAGAGGGGAGTGGGAGAGGAAGGAAGAGGGGAGTGGGAGAGGAAGGAAGAGGGGAGTGGGAGAGGAAGGAAGAGGGGAGTGGGAGAGGAAGGAAGAGGGAGTGGAGAGGAAGAGGGGAGTGGGAGAGGAAGGAAGAGGGGAGTGGGAGAGGAAGGAAGAGGGGAGTGGGAGAGGAAGGAAGAGGGGAGTGGGAGAGGAAGGAAGAGGGGAGTGGGAGAGGAAGGAAGAGGGGAGTGGGAGAGGAAGGAAGAGGGGAGTGGGAGAGGAAGGAAGAGGGGAGTGGGAGAGGAAGGAAGAGGGGAGTGGGAGAGGAAGGAAGAGGGGAGTGGGAGAGGAAGGAAGAGGGGAGTGGGAGAGGAAGGAAGAGGGGAGTGGGAGAGGAAGGAAGAGGGGAGTGGGAGAGGAAGGAAGAGGGGAGTGGGAGAGGAAGGAAGAGGGGAGTGGGAGAGGAAGAAGAGGGGAGTGGGAGAGGAAGAAGAGGGGAGTGGGAGAGGAAGGAAGAGGGGAGTGGGAGAGGAAGGAAGAGGGGAGTGGGGGAGGAAGGAAGAGGGGAGTGGGGGAGGAAGGAAGAGGGGAGTGGGGGAGGAAGGAAGAGGGGAGTGGGGAGGAAGGAAGAGGGGAGTGAGGGAGGAAGAGGGGAGTGAGGGAGGAAGAGGGGAGTGAGGGAGGAAGAGGGGAGTGAGGGAGGAAGAGGGGAGTGAGGGGCAGCACAGCACCCGCCATCACGTGTCACATACCCACGCTCACGCCTCACCTTCCACCTCACGTTCATCCCCGCGCCCCCGAACCACCACATTCAACCCCATCCCCCAATTCTTCCCCCCCATTCCTACCCTCCACCCGCGGTGCAGCGGACATCGACACGCGCGCCATCACCAAGCGACTGCGCGACAAGGGCAGCTTGAATGGTGAGAGGGGCAGCTTGAACGGTGAGAGGGGCAGCTTGCACGGTGAGAGGGGCAGCTTGCACGGTGAGAGGGGCAGCTTGCACTGTTAGAGGGGCAGGATGGAGGGTGCATGCTGCATGCTGCATAATCTGCAAGACGTGCATGGAGTATGGTGCATGCTGCATGGTTCATGGCGCGTAGGGCAAAGGTATGGTGGTGCTGTACCTTTAGTGTGACGATGCGCCCTCGGTGTGCGGGTGACTGACAGTGTGTGCGTGGCGGTGGCAGGTGTGATCTCAACGGACCGCAAGAAGTCGGACGAGGAGCTCGTGGAGATGGCTCGCTCCTACAGCATCGTTGGTGAGCCTACAGCATCGTTGGTGAGCCTACAGCATCGTTGGTGAGCCTACAGCATCGTTGGTGAGCAAGCACTGCTGGTCATGCTTATGGCTGCATGCACTCGTGGCGCACAGAGCATATGAAGCATTCACCACTCGCATGGAACAGCTGAGTGCAATGTGCTCCCTCTGTGCTCTGATGCGTGTGTGCGTGCATGGGCGCACAGGCAAGGATCTGATAACGGGGGTGACGTGTGAGAAGCCGTACGTGTGGGTGGACCCCACGGGCGAGTGGGAGTTCAGCAGCGATGCCAAGGAGGTCTCCATGGCCAACGCCTTCCATGTGAGTCAACGTATTCCATGTGAGTCAACGCTTTCCACGAGAGTCAAGTCAACGCCTTGCATGTGAGTCAACGCCTTGCATGTGAGTCAACGCCTTGCATGTGAGTCAACGCCTTGCATGTGAGTCAACGCCTTGCATGTGAGTCAACGCCTTGCATGTGAGTCAACGCCTTGCATGTGAGTCAACGCCTTGCATGTGAGTCAACGCCTTGCATGTGAGTCAACGCATTCCATGTGAGTCAATGCCTTGCATGTGAGTCAACGCCTTGCATGTGAGTCAACGCCTTGCATGTGAGTCAACGCACTCCATGTGAGTCAACGCACTCCATGTGAGTCAACGCACTCCATGTGAGTCAACGCACTCCATGTGAGTCAACGCACTCCATGTGAGTCAACGCATTCCATGTGAGTCAACGCCTTGCATGTGAGTCAACGCCTTGCATGTGAGTCAACGCCTTGCATGTGAGTCAACGCCTTGCATGTGAGTCAACGCCTTGCATGTGAGTCAACGCCTTGCATGTGAGTCAACGCCTTGCATGTGAGTCAACGCCTTGCATGTGAGTCAACGCCTTGCATGTGAGTCAACGCCTTGCATGTGAGTCAACGCCTTGCATGTGAGTCAACGCCTTGCATGTGAGTCAACGCATTCCATGTGAGTCAACGCACTTGCATGTGAGTCAACGCACTCCATGTGAGTCAACGCCCTCCATGTGAGTCAACGCCTTGCATGTGAGTCAACGCCTTGCATGTGAGTCAACGCACTCCATGTGAGTCAACGCACTCCATGTGAGTCAACGCACTCCATGTGAGTCAACGCACTCCATGTGAGTCAACGCACTCCATGTGAGTCAACGCACTCCATGTGAGTCAACGCACTCCATGTGAGTCAACGCACTCCATGTGAGTCAACGCATTCCATGTGAGTCAACGCATTCCATGTGAGTCAACGCATTCCATGTGAGTCAACGCATTCCATGTGAGTCAACGCCTTCCATGTGAGTCAACGCCTTCCATGTGAGTCAACGCCTTCCATGTGAGTCAACGCCTTCCTCGTGAGTCAACGCCTTCCTTGTGAGTCAACGCTTTCCATGTGAGTCAACGCCTTCCACGTGAGTCAACGCTTTCCATGTGAGTCAACGCATTCCATGTGAGTCAACGCATTCCATGTGAGTCAACGCCTTCCATGTGAGTCAACGCCTTCCATGTGAGTCAACGCCTTGCATGTGAGTCAACGCCTTGCATGTGAGTCAACGCCTTGCATGTGAGTCAACGCATTCCATGTGAGTCAACGCATTCCATGTGAGTCAACGCCTTCCATGTGAGTCAACGCCTTCCATGTGAGTCAACGCCTTCCATGTGAGTCAACGCCTTCCATGTGAGTCAACGCCTTCCTTGTGAGTCAACGCATTCCATGTGAGTCAACGCCTTCCACGTGAGTCAACGCCTTTCATGAGAGTCAGCTCATCACCTTGATGCATCACACCCCCCATCCCCCCCGTCTAACCCCCCCAGGTGGTGGCGTACGACTTTGGCATAAAGCACAACATTCTGCGCCGCCTGGCGTCGTACGGCTGTCGCATCACAGTCGTGCCCTCCACCTACCCGCCTGAGGACCTCGCCAAGCTCAACCCCGACGGTGTCCTCTTCAGGTGCGCTTCTTGAGGTGTATCCGCCTCACCGCTTCAGGTGCGCTCCCTGCTTTCCCCACCACCTGCCTCTCGCGCCCTCCCTCGTATCCTTGCCCTTGGTCTCCCGCCTGCCCTCTCTTCCTCACCCCCGCCTCGCCCACTTGCACTCGTCGTCACTCTCATCACCACCCCCCTCCACCTCTGCTCCACCGCCCTCCGCCCCCCTGCCAACGTGCAGCAACGGGCCGGGCGACCCGTCGGCGGTGCCGTACGCGGTGGAGAGTGTGCGTGCGGTGGTGGGCACGGTGCCGGCGCTGGGCATCTGCATGGGGCACCAGCTGCTGGGGCAGGCGCTGGGCGGCCGCACCTTCAAGCTCAAGTTCGGCCACCACGGCGGCAACCACCCCGTGCGCCACCTCGCCTCCGGCCGCGTCGAGATCAGCGCGCAGGTCAGTGCTGGGAGGGGTGTGGGGGGGGGATGTGGTGCGGGTGAAGATGGGGGTTTGTGTGGGGATGGTGTGAAGTACAGGCGCCAGGCATGCGCATGCAGGTGTGTGTGAGCTTGGGTGTACTTTTGTTTCAATTAAGGATGCATCTGATGTTGTCCTTCCTGTGTGTCATTTGCACTGTGTTGTGTACCATGTGCCATGTCTCATGTACGACGCGTGTGGTGTGTGCGGCGGTGCTGTGCGGGGGGGGGCAGAACCACAACTACGCGGTGGATCCGGAGAGTCTGCCGGAGGGCGTGCAGGTGACGCACATCAACCTGAACGACGGCACGTGTGCGGGGCTGGCGTACCCGGCTCTCAACGTCATCAGCATCCAGTACCACCCCGAGTCCTCCCCTGGGCCCCATGACGCCGACCCAGGTCAGAATGCCACCACGCTGCACCTGCTATGCACCACCCACCCTTGCCCACCCAAGCACCAGCCATGCAGCATACAGCACAGCCCATGCATCATACTAGCGCTGATACACCATCAATGCAGATCGTCGCACCACCTTTGGCTGAGCGCCAAGTTGCATTGGTTGCTCGCGACTCCTGCATGCCACGTGCACGTGCACATGTGATAGCTGCTTACTTGCCTCTCTGCTCCTGCTTTGCCTCTGCTATGTGCAGTGTTCCATGACTTTGTGCAAATGATGATCAAGCACCGTGCCGCTGCAAAGGCTTGAGACAAAATTGTTCGATCTAGCATTGCCTTGAGACAGACTGGCAACTTTATTATTCTAACAATCGTTATAAGATGTGTAGACATGAGACTGGCTTGCGAGTCTAGACATGGCAAGAGGCTAGAAAATGTTTTGTTGTATGAAAGAATTTCTCTTATTGCATCCTACATTGGTTTCTCATTTTTTCCGCATGCTCGAACATCTGAACACCCAAACCCATTTCAACCCAAGGGTTGGGCGCAGCACAGCACCGCCTGTAGTCTTCACCAGCCCCTCTAAACACACGACAGCCAGCCAGCGCACCTCGAGATCTCCCAGAGCAACCTCTTGAGTTGTGATACGTCTCACAACCATTCGCCACAAGCCCCACTGCTACGCCGACGCCCGCTCTTGCTTTCCGCCACTCTCGTTGCTTATCTCGCCTTATCTATCACCCATAGCCTCTCGCTATCCGCTCGCCACTTTCCGTCGTCACTCATCGCACATCCCTCGTCGCCCATCACTAATCGCGAACCGCTGATTGCATAGGGGAGGCTGGTTAGGGTGCAAGTGCATTTAGGACTGCTGTAGGGTGCGCGCGGGGGGTGTCTGCAGAGCGGGCTGGATGGGACGCTCCCGCTGCTAGCACGACCACCACGCGCCCGGCCGCTCTCGCCCGCATCGCGATTCGTTTCCGCGTGCGCGGCATGTCGTGGCGCGGGCTGCGCGGGTGCTGGGGGTGGTACCAGCAGCAGCTGTCGCGGCGGCCGGTCCGCACGCAGGTGGTCACCTCCACCGTGCTGTGGGGGTCGGGTGACGTCATCGCGCAGCAGATCGACCGACACATGGCTGACCGACACGCGGGCGATGCGCACGTGGCCGATGCACACGTGGCAGCGCGAGTCAACGTGGGGTCGCGGCAGGCAGATGGGGCTGCGTCGCCCGACCATGCCCGGGTGCGTTGGACTGATTAGTCGTGCTTTTGCAGCCCCGTGCGATATTCGCGCTCGTGCGTCTTCCCCGCCCGTGCTTGCTGCGCCTCGGGCGCGTTACGCGCTCGTTCGCGTTGCGCGCCAGTGAATGTTTGCGTTTCACGCCATGACTGCGTGCTGCGCGCGCCCTCTCGCCTCGGGCGTTGCTCCAGGGTGCCGTCGGCCCTGTACCTATCCGGGCCTGCATCCTCCCACCGCTCGCGCGCACATGAGTCTCGCGCCTACCGCTCACAGCACCAACCTTTTCTTCGCAGGACTGCGCGCGAGGGCCCGTGGCGGGTGGCCGTGAGTCGGGCGCGGGGGCGGTGGCAGCGCGAGCGGGCGAGCAGCTCAACTACCGGCGCGTGGTGACGACGGCGCTCTTCGGAGCGGGCTTTGTGGGCCCTCTGGGTCACTACTGGTGCGCGCTCCCTCGCCCACTGCTCCCCTCCCCTCCCCCTTCCATTCCTCTTCACCTCTCTCCTTCATCCCCATCATGCAGGCTCTCTCACCTCCTCCCCCTTGTGTCCACCCCTCACTGTCCCTCACCCTGTTTGCCAGCAACACTGTGAAACTGCAGTGTCACATCTCTGTCTCTCTGTGTTCGCAAGCCCTAACTCGCAGCACAGTGTTTCAAGCCTGGCTCTCATTGATCACGGCTCTTGGCGCGCGGCGTGTGCCTGGGTGTGGCAGGTACGAGGGGCTGGAGGGCTTTGTGAGGAACCGCCTGGGGCTGCGGCCGTCGACGATGCGGTTTGTGGCGGCGAAGCTGTTTCTGGACACATTTGCGTTCGGCCCCGTGCACCTGGCAGCCTTCTTCACGTACACGGGGCTCGTGGCCGGCCACTCGCTGCACCAGATCCGCACTGACCTCGCCCGCGACTTCCTCCCGGGCTTCCTGACAGAGGCCACAGTGTGGCCCGTCATCCAGACTGTCAACTTCAAGCTCGTGCCCGTGCAGCACCAGCTGCTCTTTGTCAACTTCTTCTGCCTGCTAGACAGCGCTTGGCTATCGTGGCTCAAACACCAACAAGATGCTCCTTGGAAGGCCTGGCTTGCGAATACATTGTTTGGTGGCTCAGAATCCAATTTTTAAAGTTTCCCAGCTACGACTGGATTTTTGTCGTTTTCAGAACTAGGTACATTCATGCTCAATGCATGTTGAGAGAGCAAGACTACCGGTACAATGTTTGTTGAGATGTAAGAAAAGGATTTTTAAACACCAAGTGCTTTTTTTTCTGCTTTTAATTGCACATTTCAAAAACTGCACCTTTTTGTAAAACAGATATTGGCTGGGCCTGTCAAATTATATGCATGATATATATGGTTAGGTTGTAGTAGGGTAGCCAATATGGGGTACAGGCTGTACCGTACTGTCATAACATTATAGCTTATATATTTGTGTAGGCTATAATGGGATATCCCATAGGGGGTACAACCCAATCAGGGTTTCCTATATGTACTCACTTCATTCTTAGTTCATTCATTCTCGTTCTAGTTTCTTTCACATGGTTTCAGAGCGGTTACGCTCTCGGCCTGTGGGTACTACTGCTTCCGCTGCTACATGCTCTGTCGCACGCCCCGTGGCGTGTGACGCGTCGGCGCGCGGTGATTTGCACTTTGGCGCGCGCCTCGGGGCGCGCGGCCTCTTTCTTTTCTGGCGCGCCGCCCGTCCCGGCCCCTAGCCGCCCGCGCGCCGCCCGTCCCGACCCCTAACCGTATGTGCGCCGCCCGTCCCGGCCCTTAGACGCCCGCGCGCCGCCCGTCCCGGCCCTTAGACGCCCGCGCGCCGCCCGTCCCGGCCCTTAGCCGCCCGTCCCGGCCCTTAGACGCCCGCGCGCCGCCCGTCCTGGCCCCTAGCCGCCCGCGCGCCGCTCGTCCTGGCCCCTAGCCGCCCGCGCGCCGCCCGTCCCGGCCCTTAGCCGCCCGCGCGCCGCCTGTCCCGACCGCGCGCCGCTGCTCCAGCCCGTCGACGCCCGTGAGCCGCCCGTCCCGGCCCCACGCCGCCCGTGCGCCGCCCGTCCCGGCCCCGCGCCGTCGTCCCGGCCCCCACTCCGCCCGTGCGCCGCCCGTCCTGGCCCCACGCCGCCCGTGCGCCGCCCGTTCCGGCAGCGCGCCGCCGTCCCGGCCCCACGCCGCACGTGCACCGCACGTCCCGGCCCCACGCCGCCCGTGCACCGCCCGTCTCGGCCCCGCGCAGCTGCCCCGGCCCGTCGCCTGCTGCATTGCCGAGCCGCCCCCCCCCACCGAGCCGCCGAGCAGCCCAGCAGCCGAGCCGTAGCCGAGCCGCTGAGCAGCCCAGCAGCCGAGCCGCAGAGCAGCCGAGCCGCCCGAGCCGCCCGAGCCGCCCGAGCCGGCCGAGCCGCCCGAGCCACCCGAGCCGCCAAGCCGCCGAGCCGCCCGAGTCGCCCGAGCAGCCGAGCCGCCCGGGTCGCCCGAGCCGCCGAGCCGCAGTTACTGCAGTGCCGCCGTGCCGCCGAGTTGCGAGTCGCCGAGTCGTCGAGCCTGCTCTTCCCACCACTGGTGAGCCCCTGCCTTCCTTACTGCTGCTACTCCTGCTCCTGCTTCTACTGGCGGCGGCCAGATGCAGCTCCAGCGACGCCCACGCGCGTCTCTCACGCCCCAGCAGCTTCGTGAGTGGTACGCTCAGAGTAGAGGGTCTCTCAGTTCTGTTCGCTGCTCTTACGTGATTCGCACTGGTGCTCGGACTGGTCAGCCTTGTGGGACGCCTAGTCATACACCGTCCCGCTGAACGAGAAAGAACGAACGAGAAAACGAATTTGTAAGAATCAGCAGATACACACTTGAACATCAGTGAATAAAGTTGGAATCAAGTACATACGACTTACAAACCACATACTAGTCTGCTGCTGCCTATAAAGAAATGGTAAGGAAGAGCCATAGAAAGTGGACGGGAGAAAACTACATGAACTAAAAAAAAACGGTAGTTTAGATGAAACCAAAATGAAGATTACAAGGCCCCTGCAGATTCTAACAAACAAACAGAAGCTTTTCTTTCGTTCTCTAGCACGCTTTCGTTCTCGCTTTCTCTATCGCTACTCTACTGCTCTCACATGCTCTCCCCCTCTCTCTTTCCCAAGATGATGGTCAAACACAAACTCACCGTTAATAAGAGGAGGGAGTGAGGCAACAATGTGCTTGACCGTTCATGGAAGCAGATGGTGGGATATAAAAGCAAATCAAACAGCTACAAAAGACTTCAACCGATTATGGTTTCAAAATGAACCTATGTACTAGATAAAAAAATGGAGACCTTACTAATTAGCATTTAAGCCGGAATGGGTTGCAATCTTTCAAAACGACGTAGGAGTATGAGTTGTGGCCCTTGAGAACAAACGAATGAAAACGACGTCCTGCTAGGTCGAAAAATGCTTCAAAACGAGATAATCAACAAGAAAGAAAAGTACTTCTAGATGAGAAGTAGATGTTTAGGCTGAGACATTAATCTGCTAACTAGGTTCTAGCTGGCGGCTTTAGTCTCTGACCTTGGTAGGCTGAGGGTGAGTAGCAGGAGCCAAACAGAACGACGAGAGGAAGAAAGAGGAAGAAATGGAACCAAACCCTAACCCAACTCACGCGCAATTCTATTGCAAAAATATTAAAAGTTGAGTCATTAGTACCGTTGATGTAGCGTACTTGTGTCGAAGTTATTTGAGTAATCGTGAGGTCTTGGTTCGATTCCCGGCGCGGTCTTGCATATATCCCTTTTTAGAAACAACCTTATGGTCTTACATAGTTGATTGTAATTTACCACACTAAAACCACCTAGACTAAATATGTAACTTTTGCAAGCACAACTACTACTTATTATCATTATCATACACCATTATCATTATTAATTTGTTGTCTATCCTCAAACGTATAAAAACATAAAGTGAAAACATGAAGAACATGATAATCACACAATTCATTTTAATCTAAATACGGCGAAGTAATCAAAGTCGTTCAAAATTATAACGCATGTTAAAAGTGTTGCTTCGCAACCCTAAGACGATTTCGTCGCCTCTTGTTTTTTTTTTTTTCCGGGCCCACCCACCGTTGCGGTTACCGCGCTACCCCACGTGTTGTCCTACACGCGTCTTGTCAAAGTTAGAAGAAAGAAAGAGGATTGAACTAGCAAGAATGAGGATACAAATAGCAAACCCTAGAAGGGTTGTACTCGCTATAGAGCACCCCACTATAGGCTAGAACAATAAGATAATATTCTGACACACCCCCATAGCCAAAGTGGGGTGTAATCAGCAGAGCAGGCAAAGCAAAACAAGCTCAGGGTGGATCACAATGTCACCACACATTCTGAGCACAAGTTCAAGAAGAAATAGTTTAGAGTTTACAATTATAAGCAAAGCTAGTGGTAGTCACAACGGGCAAGTGAGGAGGAGGAGGGAGAGTGAGGGGAGAGGAGACAGGAGGCGACGGCTGAAGCTGCAGACACACGGGCAACAGGAGGCAGACTGGCACAGCGGCTACCGGACAGCGCCCGGACTACAGGAGTAACAGGCCCCGCGGCTCAAATAGCGGCGGACGGGCAACGGACCCACGGGCGGCTGGCACAGCTGGCTACGACTGGGCTACCGGGACAGCGCCCCGGACTACAGGTGCTGCTGACGACAAACTGGCAACCTCCGCTCATCCTCCCGCACACAGTCCCACCCCCCTGATACACACCCACTGCTACACCACTAGCTCTACTCCCACACACACCCCTTAAACCCTAGACCCGGTCTCCCACACAACCACCCCCCTCAGCGACAGCTGCAGCAGTGGGAGACGAAGGAGGAGGAGGAGAAAGGGAGGAAGGCACACCGACCACCCCCATACCCGCCACCCCACAGCTCGCGGCCCCCTCAGGTCGCCACGACGGACGACGGGAAATGGGGGAAGGGGAGAAAGGGGGGGGGGCCCACCACGGACCTGAGGGGAGGGCGGGGCCGCGACAAGGGGCGGGGCCGCGACGAGCGGGGCGGGGCCGCGACGGTCGGGGTGGGACCGCGACGTAGGGTGGGGCCGCGAAAGGTCGGGGCCGCGAAGGTAGGGCGGGGCCGCATAGGGTCCGGGGCGGGGCCGCGACGTAGGGCGGGGCCGCTTCGAGGGGCGGGGCCGCGACGCAGGGGCGGGGCCGCGACGAGGGGCGGGGCCGCGACGGAGGGGCGGGACCGCGACAGGTAGGGCGGGGCCAAGCCGGGCAGGCGCACGGGCGGCGACGGGCCGGGGCGGGGCCGCGACGAAGGGCGGGGCCGAGCCGGGCAGGCGCACGGGCGGCGACGGGCCGGGGCGGGGCCGCGACGTAGAGGAGAAGCCCGCCGCGCGCCCCGGGGCGCACAGCGGGCAATGAACCGCCGCGCGCCTCGGGGCGCACGGCGGGCAGAAAACCGCCGCGCGCCTCGGGGCGCACGGCGGGATGAAAAAGTAGCAGCGGAAGCAAGGTGGGGACACACCCACAGGATCGATCCAAGGGGATCGACCTGCTCTGATAGCATGTCAAAGTTAGAAGAAAGAAAGAGGATTGAACTAGCAAGAATGAGGATACAAATAGCAAACCCTAGAAGGGTTGTACTCGCTATAGAGCACCCCACTACAGGCTAGAACAATAAGATAATATTCTGACACGTCTTCCCCTGCCTTGCCTTGTGACGTGCTGCGCTGCACGTGTTATAAGTTGTGGAAAGAAAGAGTGCGCAGAACTCAATAGTGCGGAAGTGATTACAACGTCTGAAAGAACAACGAGGCCTAGGCATAATATAGCAAGGTTAACTAGGCCGAGGTCGCGGGGTCGCGAGATGGTTGGGTGCAGGGTCGGGGTTGGAAAACCCGAAGGCGACGCGGTGGTGGCTCGGAAGGCGAGGTCGGCGGGCCGAGCCTGGTTTTCCAAAAGTCGGAGTTGTACGCGTACAGTGTGACCCAGTAAGGAATCCGAAAATTTCCTTACACTACCCCCCCCCTTTAAGAAAGGTGGTGAATGTCCGAAACACCCCGACGGGCCAGGTAAGCATCCAAAACCGGGTGTCCCAGAAGCGAATCAGCTGCGACATACGTGTCGTCCTCGCTCGTGCGGTCTTTCCAGCGAAGCAGTAA